GCGCAGTACCAGGAACTGCTGGCTCAAATCGACGACGAGGGAATAGTCGCCAGCAGTAGCAGTAACAATAGCAGCGGCTACTACGCCTCGTCGTCGAGGCCCGATCCCAACCACGACCACGACCCGTCGGCTGCTAGCTCGGGCCGCGGCGCGCGAGCCACGACGAGCCAGCATGAACGAGACCTCGAAGCCGAGTTCCGGCGTCGCGTCCCGAACCTCTACCGCAAAGCCCTGGAAGCCCATGACAACAGCGGTAGTGGCGGAGGCCGGGCTGCCGAGACGCCGCGCGACACTCCCGCCTCTGCGCCCGCCCCTGGCGCTGCTTCTGATGACACTGGCAATGGCGGTGGCGGTGGGGGGACAGGAATAGCAGAAACGGTGACGGGTACAGCAGCAGCAGCAGCACTAGCAGCAGCCAAATCATCAGAGGAAGCAGCGACAGGAACAGCGACGAGATGGGACGGCGGCTCTGCCTTGCGACGAGGTGGAGGTGGAGGTGGCAATGCCAACAACACCACCGACGGGGAGGAGGACAGGAACAGTACCACAACCTTTGGATTCGACACAAAGGCGCCGCTGGTCGAGTATCTCGACAGAGGCCTCTCCCACATCCGGCAAGGGAAACCCGTCACGTCCGCCGCGAGTGACAGCCGGCGACCCATCGACGTGGCCCCGACCTCTTCGTCGTCGTCGCTGTCGCTGTCGTTGACAAACACCACCAACACCGCGATTGGTGGGATGTCGAAACTTGCCGCGGAGGGCTGTCATGCCCACTTTGACTCAGGGGCCGCCGTCGCCGTCGCCACGCCGCTGGGTTCTTCAGATGATTCTTATGTGAAGATCAGTAGGGGAGATGCGCAGTACGCGGGCGATCTCCCTGCTCGTCTTGGTAGCCCCCCGAACCCGGGCCATCAACACCAGCAGCACCATCACCATCACCGCCAGAACCAGAACCAGAACCAGCACCGCGGCGGCCTCGTCGGAGGAAAAGACGGGACGATGAGGGATGCCCACGTCGTCGTTGGTCCGTCCGGGGATGAAACGCCCAAAAGGGGCCGGGGCGGTTTCCTGAATAAGGTTCTGCGAAGGGCATAAACGTTGAAAGCGTGCTTGCCCCTGGTTCAGGTGTCATGGTTTTCTGCAGAGTTGAAGAGGGGGGGGGGGGGACTTCTTTTCCCGAACATGGGGCTGGCTTGGAGGGCCAGAGGGGAAAAGGGGAAAAAAAGATGTGATGCTCGTGGGCGTTCGTCTCAGGAACCCTTTTTCATCTCGCGAGCTGGCATCTTTTTTCGGACTTTTGGTTTTGGAAGGAAAGTTGTATGGCGTGTATGGTGTGTGCGTGTCAATGTCGATGGCCAGGGCACAACCAAGCAAGAGCCCGTCAATGGAGGAGAGTTGGGCTGGGAACCATCTGTGGATACACACAACATGCGATGCTATTCGCGACACACCACCACCACCACCACCATCTCCTTCTCCTCTGTTTTCACTTTGGGCTTTCTAGATTGAGCGTTTCTTTCCCCCTGGTTCGATGTTTTGGGATCAGGGGCAAATTTCTACTTGGCATTGATGGCAAGACTGTAGATGAGCATACTTTGGTTTGGTTTGATACCGGTCTGGAGTAAGCAGTTTGTTCTTGGTGGGTGCCCCGTCAGCCCTTGGTGTTCAAACCAGTTCGGAGAGAGATATGTCACCTTCACACAAGTAGGCGAGTGCGGGTTGGATGGTGGCAATGATGTTCGGAAACCGGAGTATCGTAGTTTATCGGACATGGACCACATTAGGACAAGATAATCAGTATGTAGCGTAACAGGAGCAACAGCTGCATAACCTGGTCACAGCCTTGTAAGGTGTTCCCCTTCTTCGTCTTATTCTGTTTCCCGTGTGCTATGCCTCACTCTATCTCGCTACCCCTCCATATTGTATCGTGTATCTGTGTATGGTGGCATATGTTGGCCCCTTCAACCCGTCCATGCTCCCTCGCTTTCGCGCCTCTGCCTGCTTTCGTCTCTTCTTTACAAATCTGATAGTCACAGTGTCGTTTGGAGATATAGGCCAGAACAACGCTCCTGCCTGTTTCTCCAAGGGGAGGGGGTGTTGGGTTTGGAAGTTGGGTTTGGTGGTTGAACGGACGGACGTTCGACAAAAATGCCAGGGGGCATGATGGAAGAGACGGACGAGAGCGACAGAGACAGAGAGAGATGCGATGGAAAGGGTCACCCCTCGTCCTTCTCCGCCAGCACGCAGCGTACGCACCTCTCGATCCCCCATGGATCACCCCTTCCCGCGACCCTTTCTTCCCGTCTCTTCGGGATGTTTCTGTCTAGGCTTTTCGTTCAGGCATACAAGGGGGAACAAGAGTCCGACAGCCAGACCAGGCTCAAACTCAGACTCAATACCAGACAGACCCGGCAATGGCCTCGTAGCACCGTTCGTCTCGAACAGAAATGTCAAATACTTTTTTTTCCCACTTGGTACGTGCCAGCCCTTGACGTTTTGGAAAAATCCGCAGTTTCTCAATGCTATCCATTCTTTTTTTCTTTTCTGCTTAGTATCTCTCTCCCCTATTTCTTTCCCCTTTGGACAGCACTCCCCTTCCTAACCTTTTGCCCCCTTGAACCCGGAAGCTCGGGTATCACGTCATCCATTCCTGATCATGGTTTTTGCTATGCTATAAGGACCCCCAACTCAACAGCAAAGACACATACGCGAGCACAGAGAACGACCGAGAGGCAAGAGAGAAACAGCAAGTCGCACCAAGGCAGGCATACCCTTTGCCGATTCTAGTCGGGCTTACCCATGCCTTGTCTTATTTGTCAAAAGGTCCGGACGGAGTTGGTTGGAAAAAAGGGGGCATACGGGGAAAATCTCCAACGTAAGGAGAACGAAGGAGGGGAGGGAGGTTTACCCGAGTCTACCTACTCTACAGGGTTGCAGCAGTTACAGTGAGTGGTTGATCATAGATCTGTGGCGAGAGATAATCAATGTAGATCCCCTTGTTTCCTATACTACAAACTGCCGTTTTGTTTATAACATGGTTTTTCTTAGTTCCAATATATTGGCTCAGCTTGTGGCAGTGAACGGTGCTCAGGCATTGGGAACCTCGCTGCTGTTATCAGGTACTTCATACCTAGTACAGCTGGAAAACAGTAGACGAGGAAAGAGAGAAACATCACGAGTAGCTGGCTGGTCGCCTCCGGGGGAAGAGGGGAGAAACTGGTGTCCGATCCGAAGATATGCAGGTTTCGATCCCATGTGTGCAAATCAACCTACGGCACTTTAGTCTCACAATCGTCCGAGTAGGGAGATGCTCAACGGTCAGTCGCGAGCGGTTGTACCTGGTCTGATGTCTGCTCGCGTGTGGTGTCCAAGAGTACAGGAGACATACACTAGTCCCAGCGGGCGTTTGCCAGGTATGGGCAAGTTTCTATCGCATGGCAATGGAGAGGAGGTTGGGCAAGGACGAACGTCCGGGGAGGGGGGGGGGGGGGCGCCGCCACCGTCAGCAAGCAGCAGCAGCAGCATTAGTCGCAGCAAGTCAGAGCGAGAGAGAGCGCGCGCGCGGGATCATCTGTGTGCCTGCTGCCTTCTCATGTTCTTGCCGAGCTGCCTGTCAAGTGGAAGAGACGACCTGACCAATCCAAAGCTCGGCAAGACGAAGGTCAATCACGGGCGTTCTTCTTCAGATCAACGAGACGAAAGTGACAAATCGCTCTGACGCCGGGTGTCAAAAAAACGTCCATAGTTGACAGGTAGGCGCAGCAGGGCAAGGCAAGCATAACGTGCGAGCGGCCCCGAAGAGACGGGTCGGGTTGGACGGTTGGCTCGTTGGTGGTGGTGTCGTCGTCTTTCCTGTGACAAGCTTCACCTCAAGATGCTCTACGGATACACACACTCTCTCGCTCGCAGGATATCGTCCAGAAGAGGCAAACAGGTCAGTGACTTTTGTCTACACGAGCGTGCGGGCGGGGAGAGAGGGACTGATGTTTCTTCTTTCGCGACATGTCCAAAGGGGAGGGGGTGCGGTGGGCGTGGCGCAGTCCGTCAACTCGGTCCCCAACGTTTGCTGTCAAAAAGAGATTTTAGAGAATGCGACTGGTTGGCAGATGTGACAAGTCGTCGGGCCCCCTTCTGTCTTCTGCTGCCATGCCAAATTCTGAGAAGGGCGTGAATGGGGTTGGTGGGTTGCGTAGTGTGGTGTAGGTAGGGATCCTACAAGCAGCAAGATCCTGTAGGTTGCAAACCGTCCCATTTTCCAGAAAGGAAAAAGAAAAGAAACAGAGGAGAGAAGGCAGACCCCCCATCCCTGCCTGCATCACGGACGGAGAAGAAGGGGGAGAGTCAGCGAGAGTACCCGAACATCGACAGACGGTGGTTTGACAGCGGGTCATAGATATGCACGACATAACATCATGACGAGAATCCGAAGGGAAACGGAGACAAATCAGAAGGCGGATAACTCGAGGTCAACGTGGTGAAGAAACAATTCCGCGCCCGCTTTGGCACTCCGACAGGTTCTGGAGTTTCTCTCTAGATTCCGTGCGCTGTGTCTGCTGCTGTACGCTACGTTCGAGCCCATCTATCGGGAAGAGAAACGAATCTCTGCATGCTGAGTTCCCCTTGCCCTGTTGTCTCCTCTTCTAGTTTTCTTCTCTCCGCACGACGCTCGTTGTCAGAAGAAGGGAGACAATGTATGAGAAATGTCAAATTTCGCTGTCGTCGGGAATTCGCATCCAGACTTTGGATGCGAGAACGGAATGCGATTCGCTCGCCAGAAATCGTGACAGGTGCTAGGGTACACCCTGGCACGCCGGGGGAGGAGTTCCCAGCCCCAAAATGAAGTGTTTTTTTTTTTTACGATTTGACAGGGCGCTTGGACCATGTTAAGGCTGGGTTCAAGCTCCAGGGGACGATAGATGGGAGGGGATGAGGAAGCGGATGGATAGTGGACTGGATAGATGAAGACAAGGAGTCTTTTGGGTACGACGTAGGGATTGTTGATGAGCATCGCCATCCGGCTCTGGAGTCTGGCACTGGCCCTGGCCGCTCTTCCCTGTGCCTGTCCTTCTCCTGTCTCCCCCCCCTTCTACACATCGATCTTGATTACAATCATTTTGGGGGCCCTTGGAGTCCCTTTCAGTTGCAACATCATCCATATTCGTATGCACGAATACACCAGAATTGGCAGATTGGAAGCCAAACAGTCGGCTGGCTGGCCGGGATCAGATCAAGGCAAACGGGTGGAGAACGGGCATCGAATTCTGGCACCGGTCGGACCTGCCTGTTCAGTTTCAGATGTCCGGAAGCAACGCCAGAAGATTGCCAATTGAGCACGGCTTCCGGGATAAGGTCTGCCGCGAAGAACAAGCCCAGAATTTCTACCTGCGGTCATTGTCCGCGGGGCGAGTTAACAAGTTGCGAGTGGATGAGATTCCTGACAAGCCCCATGTTTCCCTTCGGCCCTCAGGGGCCGGGAAAGCCAATGTGTGAGCCCTTCGTGCCCTTCTGCCTTTTCAGATCCCTGCTGGTCACGCCAGTCTTGCGTCCAGCGTTATGAGGGTTGCTCCCCCAAGCCTGGCTGATCCATGGTTATGACGGGGAGCATGGTGTCGGCAGAAGGCATGTTTGGATGTTAAACCTCCTAGCCACTTTGCCACCCCACTCGAATCGTCCTAGTCCGATCCATCAGCGTTGGATCTGGTGGTCCCCTTGCGGCTGTCAAACTTGACAGATCCCCTTTACAATTTGGTCGCCAGTGGGGAGAACCGAGGCCGATAATCGATATGACTCCCACCGTCGAGGGGTGCAGATGGAGCTTCCGACCAGGTCTGGCAATAAGACCTTCTGTGCCGGCGGGAAATGACTTCATAATGAGCCCAGATATCTCGTCAAACTGTCCTTTAACACGCTCCTAGTGGAGTTCCAATATCTGCCGATTCCCAATAATCTTTCTGCGATTCCTTCAACCTTGCGACCGCCGCTTGGATCTGGGCCTGGACTTGCACTATGCACCTTGTCAAATGTAAAGGTATGCACGTCGCTGGCTCGGGACTCGGGAGTCGAGTCGGGAGCCTTGCGCCCGGCACGCCTTGCTCGAGATCTCATCGAACCCAAAATTCCCTTTCATTGCCAATTCCCCCCTCAACCGATTGAAAAGTGTCACCGAAATAATCCTGAGCTGTGCCCGATAAAATATGCTTTTGCCCCTGTAGGATGTTGACAGGCTGTGGTTGTGACGGCATCGGAGCCGCAAACTCTCCACAACAACGTCTGCGCCTGCCTTTCACAGAACAGACGATGTGACTGCCCATTCTGGCGCTGCTGTCCTCTTCCCGCTGCGACGCTACCGCTGGGCGTTGACGGTTGCTGTCACCCTAAAGGTTCGCGCTTGACATGCGGAGCAGAAAGGCGGCTGCATCAACTGACGTTGCCGACAGCTCGACGTTGCCGCAGCCGAACTTCTGTGGACGAGAGTGTAGGTCCAGTCTGAATGGAACTACCGGTTGGTGGACCTCATGATCTCCATTTGATATGTCTGTGTCACTTCCAGGGCGCCCTGAGGAGCAAGGCCCGTACATGATGTATCCAGCACGGCCGCCCCAAGGCGGCTGTGTTACTCAATAAGGAGCAGCTTGCGCGACGCGATACACGGGGCCGTGACCAGGGTCACCACAGCCCAAAGATCCGATCTGGGTGTTCCAGAGAAGAAAATATCGTCACGACTTCTACTCGCGAGGTACAGGTGATGCCCGTCTTCGTAAAGGATCCACTGAATCCCCAGGTCCACGGGATGGTTGGACAATATGACTTGTCTTGATTGCACCAAGAGATTCCAAAGCGGCGTAGGGCCCATTTGGAAGCCTGCATCTTGTACGACGTGCCTGACTGTAAATGAAAGGTTGGGCCAAGCTGGTGGTGATGCCGGCGAATCCCGCCTGTGCAATACGGTGGTGTCTTCCATGTCCAACGTGAAAACGAGCCGTTGACGGCTTTACGTTCACGAAGCCCATGGTGAAAGCCGTTTGGCCCAGTTAGAGGCATAGCAAATATGAGTTGCTATTGATAGGAGAAATTGGGTGTTCGAAAAGGCTGTCGAATCGACTCAAGGGAGCCCTGTCCTCGAAAAGCGGAAATCGTCAGATGGCAGGCACTTGTATCCGAATATCCGACAGACCCATTAGTCTAGATTATGACAATCTGTAGAGCCTGGATCGAAAGTACATTAGCCTTTACTGGTCAATAGCGTGGTAGTCATTCGACATTCTCTCGTCCTCAAAATCCATCACTGATCAGAAGCATGCAGGAAACCGGTGGGACGTCGGCCATAGTCCACATTCGAAAAGCAAAGCATCTGGCTTATCGGTCGTAGATCATGCGAGAGCATGCTTCATCTTGCAGCAAACTGCTACAAGGAATCTTGCAAAAAAAAGCAAAACTTTCGGTGCTGTTCGAGTTGCTAGCTATCCATGAGGTTGTACTTCGTACTGTATCAACTATACTCTGAAGACAACCCGAGTTCCACAAATGGTCTCCAGATCCCAGGAACTAATTGTGGCTACGGAGTAGACCGATCAGTTATACGGCTTGGTCATGGCTATATCCTGTATCCAACTGGCGGACATTTGACCAAGCCTCTTGGACACACTGCGAAGACATACTGACGCAACAGAACAGAATGTGCACAGATAACTCTGTTACGAGTTGAAGGTTCCGCAGAGTACAAGACACGCTGAGCTCTGTCCCGACTGAAGACCGAAAACAAGCACGGACTCTGTGTCATGTGGACGAGAAGCTGCCAGATGACAGGCTATAACACGAGTCTTGGTAACACGCCGGTTGCGGTATGTTACTGCACGTCGTCCTGTCGTACAGCCGTCCTTCCAATTGAGGAACTACTGATGTAGAGAGCCGTTGTATTTGTTAGTAGTTACCGACGCCGTGAGTGACAGCAGTGTTAGGAGTCAAGGGTGTATCGTAGACTGGGAGTCCTCGACTATTTGCCTAGAACAGGTAAACCATGCGGCTGGTTCCAGGGACCACAACTGTGCAGCACAGTCAACTCGTCAAGCCCGTCTTTGCGAGACCGACTTGCCCTCAGCGGTTCGCAAGAGGCGCGAGCAAGGGGCTCTGGCTACAATAGAATAAAGGCCCGCCCATAGGCCCAACATGAATGAGCGGGTCATTGAGGCGGTGATTGTTGGCATGAGGTGTCAGACCGGGAGGGTGCGGCTCATCCACATTTGACAGGCGATGGAGGATTGCTACTGCAAGATTATCGATCTTGCCACGATTCACTGGCGCGGTCCTGCCATCCAGCTCCAGGGTCGTCCAACAATTGTTGGTCTCTCCACGGCAGCGTGCTGGATACGGTCCCTGGGCTGTATCAAAGGACCAAACCCCCGGGAATGACAACTACGGCAAAGCAGCCCACTCGTTCGTTGCCCTAGAGTTTGACAAGGTCGTGATGGCAGAATTTCTCCCGCTGCGTTCTCAGCTGGCCCCCCATACTTGAGTAGCGTCCTCAGCGTTGGCGTTGCACCGCTTCGTATGGCCTGCGCGTGCTTGCAATTATTCTCTCGCAGACTGCATCAGTGGTGTTCGTGTCCAGGCTTCAGACGTTCATCAAGTGGCTCCTTACATGGTCGCCCGTTCGGTACGTTTCGGTAGTGAAATAGGGACGGAGCCGGTTCCGAGTCGAATCGAAACGTGGGGCCCAGAGAAGAACAAGATTACTGGGGTGGTACGGTAGCAAGACATCCCTGAAAGCACCCCAGCTGGCGGGCTCTGCCGTCTCATTAATGGAAAGCCGTCCCCTTGTCTTGACAAAGGAGATCCATCTGGATGGGAACCCTCGCGACGGGTAATCTTTGCTTAGTTTGGTCATTTTTGCGAATATGACCCCTGCAAATGCGGTTCAGTGGGCCACCCAGCGATCTGGCAGGCCGAATAAGCCTGGCATTTCGTCGAGAACAACGAGTCCCGTTTCTTTCTCCCTGATGGAGACATCGTGGAGCTGTCAAACGTACGATATCCGTAAAAGCCATGTGTTGGTGCGCAACAACCTGGAGTTCGAATGTCCACCTCAGCGATCCTTTGCGGGCTCTTCTGCAATACAGACCGGACATGCCGCTCGAGTCTCGACAGATAGGATGCGAGGACGTACGTATGTTGGAAAATTTAGCAAAAATAAAATTCTGGAGGGATTGTCAGCACAATCGTCCATAATCGCGCCGCCCGCCGACATAGCACATCGCAGGACGGATATCTGGGCCATAATCCGTGCAAATAGATGAAGGGAGGCTGAAGCAAGTCAATCGGGTCTTCTGAAACATGAGGCGTTGAGGCGAACAGACGCTCACCACGCGATGGTGATGTTGTGTCCGTTCGGGCGGACTATTAATCGATGTTATGTTCTATTTCAGTCGATTTGAAAATGTGCTAGAATCGTTTTTCCGTCAATTGTGCTGTTGCGTTCAAAGTTTTCTAGAAAGACATACCTGACAGCTACCTGAAGCTTCGGGGAAAATGTTTGGAGTCGGCGGGCGCCATTCCAACCTAAGTCGCGGATGAACGCCTTCGGGAGCAATTCGGAGCATACACTGTTGTGACACGGGGTATTTTTAGGGTTCCATCGTTCACTCCCCCGTACATCATTCCTTATCAATGCGGTCAGAACGGACCTGGATCGTGTGGGTATGACAAGGCAAACCTCCACAGCAGCCCGTGAATCCCCTTTTTACCCTTGAAAGGTGGAGGAGCAAAAGTGCGCGGTGAAGCTGGACCGCGTTGACCGCTGCCATGCACTGTTTAACTCCATCGTTTTATATTACTAGAGGATTGCCGCAGTATATATAGACGCTACCCTACCCTCGAATTCCGTATTATTTAATTTTAACCCTTTTTATAAATTACCTATCCTTTCCTTTATTTTACCCTCTCCCTTATTAAAAAATTATTAAAATCGTAGTTTTAATAGCTTATTAATAAGCTAATATTACTATTTAAAAATAAATAACTTATTCTTATATATAAGTACTAGGAGTTTTATTATTATAAAAATAGTAATAAATATACTAAAGTATTTAAAAGAGCTTTTTAATAAACTTTTAATATTATTTAAAATAATTATCCTCGAGCTATAAAAAAAAGCCGAGGTATTATATTAATATAGCCCTATTCGTCTCGTTAATACTAATAATAATCTTTTTAATATAAAATATATTACTAATACTTTATAACTACGTTATTACTTTTTATAAATCGTACTTAATATTAATAAGGATTTTAGTATTATTTCTTAGTTCGTTTCTTAATTTTTTTATTAAAGTCGTTATTATAAAATTAGTTTAGTTATTAGTATTTTAATAAGTATTTTAACTTAGTATATTTAGAAGCTTTTATAGCCCTTAAAGAGAGGCTTTTAAAGGACTTATAATTAGACTTTTTATTTATTATAAACGAAACTATTATAATTAAAGCTATAGCGTTACGAACCTCAATAATAAGTAATTAATAATATAATTATCTTTTTTTATAACAAGTTTAAAAAAGTATCTTAATTTAAGTACTAAGTAAGTATTATACTATTTTATTAAAACTATATTCTTATACTTATGACTTAGAAAGAATTAACTTTCTTCGATAATAAGGTACTTAGACCGCTGCTATGCCCAGTGGTACTGAAAATCGCTGGTTCGGACAAATCAGAAGGGCGGCAACGTGAGCGTATGTATTGTACTTGGCGCCGAGCGATGTGCAGACGGGAAGCAAGATCGATTTGGGAACGGCAGCGAGTCAAGATCGCGCATGCTGCTGGCGTCTGCAGTGCCGACCGATGCAAATTGCATCTGGCCGCATCGGCGAGGCGGGCGAGCTGAGGGGATTCGGACATGGTCCAAAGAAACGACAGCACTCATGTATGCAGTTTGCTTGACACGATGTTGTCAGCCAATGGGGCGTACGCGTTGTCAGGCGTAGGCAGGCACACAGACAAGCATCTGGAGCCCATCAGCTAGCACTACAAAGTGCTCCAGTATGAGTCCAGTGGGAAGATCATCCTGTCCCGTTCTGCGGGTGGGCGTGTGCTCCGGCGCACAGGGCAGCGGGAACGTGCAATGATGGCGGTAGATTGTGATTGAATGATGATTAGTGATGTCGGGACCGCCCAATGGCTGAGGCTTTTGGAAGATTGGTCGAAGGCTTCCAAGGAGCGGAGACGAGCAGACAACGGAAGTTCCCAGCTGTCCCTCAGGGATTGATTAAGTCGACTGTGGGAATTAAATTATCAACCCCCTGAACGGAGTGAAGAAGAGTCGACTTCCGACATCGTAGAACGATGTCGATGTATTCTCGATGGGGCTCGGTCCCGATTTGATAGCCAAAAGTCGGTCCTGGATGTCAACGCGCAGCCTGTGGCGTCCAGCCTTGGGACGACGGGGAAAAGATAATTGACGGGGGGGCCAATCCCACGACGGCAGTAGGAAGAGCAGAGTTCTTCTAGTCTGCTTCGGTTTTGCCCAGGTAGAAACGTTTAACCTCGCCGAAGAATGAGTCTGGCCAGAATTTGAAACGGCACCGAACAATCGGTCGGTTCTGTGCGTGGACCGGAAGGAACCCGCGCTTGACGGTGCCATATTGGGAACGATAAGAAGCCTGTGTGTGTGCGTGTGCTCGCGGAGTTTGTTTGTTGATCGGGCTCCCAGCAGAGTGTCCATTGAAGTGTCCGATGTACACGGGCATGGCACATGTTTCTGTGGAAGGGTGGTCGAGTACGAGGGCCGGCTACTTGCACAAGTGCCTAAATGATGGATGTCCTTGGTGTGCTTGCTGGTGCTTGGTGTGAGTGGTTGGATGGGGGTGGGATAGGAGAAGCGCCATCGGGCGCATGTACGGCTTGCGCATATGCGTGGCCCAGATACCGGCGATGGCCATCGGTGAAGGTGAGGTTGGTGAGTTTGTTGTCTCCCCTCGGATTCATCACATATCACATCGGAAAGGGTCGTCGTTGGCGGATGTTCGCAGCAGTTGTCATGCCCGGGTCTATGGCACCGGTCAAGACGGGTGTGGACGGTTAGCAAATGAGAAATCTGGATCGGAAAAAGCCTCCCCGCTCCATCTACCAGATACTGGATGGGAACCAATGGGAAGGGGCAGTGTGGAAGGGGTCTCCTCCGGAAGGAGAGATGCTCACGGATAATTGGGCCCAATATTCCGTGAGGCAGGCACGGCGCACACCGCACTGGAGCTTCCCAGTCTATTGTCTTCGTACCGTCCTTGTCTTTCTAGCTGATTCTTAGGGGTAAAAGTAAGGTACTTTGTCATGGAAGGTACGGATATCTGTCCCAAATACGGCATTTAGACAGATCAGACACAGATACAGATACCCCGTACGGAGTACTCAGTCCAGAGAACAGGGCAAGGTACAGCCGAGACCTTGCACTTGCTTTCGCTTGCAACTTGCAGGCAAACAATTCATCAATCCAATTCACCTTGGAGATGGAAAGTGGGCCTCTGCTTACGCCAGGCGTCCCTTACCTAGTACACAGTAAGGCTCAAGGTCCAAGGCCAGCCAAGGGTCAATGTCACGGTTGGGCGGGCAGGGCAGATTCGAGACCGGGGGCCAGGGGCCGGCCCAGACAGGGAGTCGACGACATTCAATGCAAGTCACACTCGCTGTCCGTCCTTTACCTGCTTCCGACTATGACTTGTCGGTTTTGCAGCCTTGCCAGAGTGAGGTTGGGGGGTTCTGTTTTCTGCAAGGTCACAATAAGATTACACTTCTATTTTCTCTCTAATCTCCTTCAGTACCGGTGTAGAAGCAAGCCATCGGCATGTAGCCCGTGTGTCAAGTGACGTCTGGGCGGAACTGAGGACGCAACGGCGTGCGGGAATCGGAACTTGTTTTCGAACGTTCTGGGGGCGTGATATCGTGCGAAGACCTGAACGGCAAGGTCGGTGAGCCTTTGAGGAACTACCAGGAGACTAGAGATGGCCGTCTCTGAAGCCAGCTGTGTCAGGCTGCTGGAGCCCGCTGTCTTCTGCTTATGCTGGCGGCCCAGCCCATTGCTGATGGAAATGGGAAGTCTGGGCTTGAGATCCACGGCTTGGGCGAAAGCAGACTAGTGTTATGAGCGTAGTGGCTATTTGTGTCCCGTCTGAGAGTCGTTGATTCCATTGTTTACCTTACCTAACTTTGGTTTGACGTTTTATGAGGGGATAGGAAGAAAGTGCGACGAGAGAAAAGAGTAAGGAGGAAAGGAGGCTGGCCGCTAAGAAAAATGGCAGGTGCAAGTGAGACGGCAGGCGCAAGTGCAAAGTGCAAGAACCAGTTGCAAAGTCACCCAGTGGCTCTTTTCCCTTCAACCCGACCTCAACCCGCGTATCCACTTTTCGGACCTTAATGGAAAGAACCAGCTGCACCACTTGCTCATTGGCCAGCTAGACCTTGGTCATAGGAAAGCTTGGATAACCGGGGCACGTACCTGGCTCCATTAATACCTAAGGTAATAAGGAAGCTACCTAGAGAGACGACTTGCCTTAGGTAATACTGTGGGTAACTCCCAAATCACTAGTCACAACCACACAACCCGAACAAAATTGCTGTAGTTTTCACTTTTGAGGCTAAGGCACCTCAGTAAACAATGCATCTTATGCACATCTCAGACTTGTGCTAGCCAGGCTCCTCTCTGACGGACGTATGCAGATGCCATCTAATCAGGACGCATCAGCTTCTGCGTCGCACCTCGAGCTGGCGCCCCTGCCATGCGTGCCAGATGCCAATCGCACCAAAGGACTGAAAGTCTGAAGACGATGCACGCGCCAGGCCGGGTACAAGCAGAACGCCCTCCACACCATCACCACTGACCACCACCCTGGGTCTGTCGGTCAAGCCTACCGCGGTAAGCTGGAATACCTATCGATGCATACAGATACACGCCATCGGGAGCTCCATACCGATGGTTATGACAATGGCGAACGAACAGAATAGCGACCACAAGGGTGGAAATCCCTCATGCCATGCAGATGAGAGTCGGTACAGTGCATCCCCGAGATCGATACCCAGCATCGGCTACGAGATCTGGGCAAGCAAACCAGCAGCCTCCCGCGCCTCCCACCATCACCCGACCCTTGCCGTTGCCGCTCTCAGCCAACCAGAGACAACCGCCGTGTCGACAAGAGCGCCATGTGCAATCCCGACCGGCCTGGAGAGGCGTTCCGGTGACCCAGATCCAAAGCTGGTGACGGCGATGGCGATGGCGATGCATATTGCACGACAAAAGAACCAACCGTTACAACACAATATACGCCATTTCATGCACTTCATAACAAGCAAACACCGACCCCGCCCTGGCTGGTCCGTATCACTTCACGAACCAGCACGCATCCATCTTCCCTAGATATGCACTTGGACCATCCAACAACACAGCGACCTCAGACAAGCCAACGATGGACTACGGTGCCATCTTCTATCTAGCCTGATCCCGTGCGAACGTGCTCATGGAGCTCGGAGCTTTCTGCACCCAGCTTGGCTTCCTACGTCCAAAAGGCAGTATGTTCGCCATCACAAGCGCCAAAACCAACCATGTACTGTGCGCTGTCATTCTTGTTCGGCGTTGCGACAAGCATGCATCAACCAACAAAGAGCCCGTTGGCTGGTGGCGTGCAGCGGTTGTCGTCCTTGCCAGCCCTAGACACAGACTGTTGGCCTATCGCATGGGCCGCTCTGCGCTGGGAGAGGCCGTTGTATCGCCGGAGGAATCGGTACCTGCAGTGGGCGCAGAGTCCGCGTGGTTGCTCTGGCTAACATGCTACTCTAGCGCAAAGTGTCTGGGGGATCGTCATGCTGGCCATTGCTGAACCGCAGAGCAAAAATGAGCAGCAAAGCCTGGCAATGAGTAACCTGAGAGACACGACTGGATTCTGGCCCAGAGTTCGCAGCTGTGACGGGATCGGCCTCGCACTGCATTCTCACTATATCAAAGAAACCCAGCCAGCAGGGGGCGTCTGGGAACCGGGATGCCGTCAACCGCCGCGCCAGGGCCAGCAAGTGATCACGCTGCGCTTTGCCATCTGAGCCAGTTGAGCCAGTCGGAGTGCGGACTACTCGAGGAGTGAGTTAAACAGATAGGCGACCCAAATCAAGGGCACTCGAAGCAACATGCAGACTGTATTCTGGACTGAATATCCATCCGGCACGTCCCTTCAAAGGACGAAAGGCACCACAGCTGCAACGTCTCTTCCTTACAATACGGAGTACATCTCGAACGTCAGGCTCATGAAGACACCATGGCCCCTGTCGACCCATCAGTCAGCACCCGGGCTTCCGTCTCGCCTGGTCTGCACTCCTGTGTATGATGTGCACCCCGTTCCGACGGAACCCCAACTCAACTCTTGGGGCGCAGCAACTTGAGGCGACACCTGACAAGGAGCCTTCATGACAGTTCCTGAAGAGCCAATCGCAAGTTGAGGATGCGTTTGACAACGTGAGCAATCCCATCTTTGGTTCCGATCAACCTCAGATCAACCATACCGTGGTCGCACCTTACAGCCAATCGCAATTCTTGTTTACCTAGATCTCACGAACCTTCCAGCCCTTCGAGCTGTCATGCACACGTCTTGAGCCGTTTCTGGGACCTGTCAAAGGGATTGTGAGCAGAAAAAACATCGTGGGACCCCAGGCAATACCGTCGCAAGGATTCGCCACGGCCGCCAGGGCAAAACATTGATGCTACTCGGAACCTGCCACTTCCTTTCCAGCCACAGACAGGCCCAGTCAATCGTGGTGCTGACCGGGGCCACATGATCACCGCGGTAGATCTACGTTTTTGACAGCTCTCCCTCGCGCGGACGGCTTCGGCTCCGGAGGCGCTGCCTGTGTACCCTGCGACAGACGACAGACTCGGCCCCTTCCTGGAGTTGAGGCTTGACGATTGAGGCGCCAATACCCTGATTAGCTTGCTTCCGAAAAAAGGTCTTCTACCAGAAGTTGAAACGGTAGTCAACGGTCTTGACCAGAATGCACTTAGTGCGTCTCTCTGACTCGGTGGTTCTCTCAGCCCTGAGTGCATCCTCAACAACGCAAAGGCGTTGCTGAAGAAAAAGTAAATAAAAAATCACACATTCTGTGGGCGGCTTACAATGGGCGACGAATAGGATATGGAGCCAGAAAGAAGACGCCTTGAGCCGCATGACACGCTGCACCTCGATGCTTTGCGGGGAGAAAGAACAGGGAGGGGGGAGGGTTGAGTGACAAAAGTTACACTTGTCAAAGTTTGATCATCACCAATCGCAGACCAGCAACTCTGCTCAAATGGATGCTTCGTTTTGAAGTCAGGCCTGCAAACACTTCCTGATAAGGCAAATGTCAGAACGATCCGATAGCTAGACGTGACCCGTCATGGACAGCCGCGCCGCATACATCGCACGCAACTGTTCCAAAACACTCGGACGGAAGAAAAGCATCCAATGGTGAATGCCGTTTCAGTCTACATCGGTTGTCCTTGAGTCGAGGTGCCATGGCTTTTGTTGACAAGCACAGCCACCATCATCGAATGTTGCGGACGAGGCATCAAGCCAAGTTGGAAACTCAGCGACTGGTTGAACCCAAGAACACCCAGACACACCCACGAGGGAAGTTTGGGGCACGTCACAGACGTTAGCTGCGACCGGGCGATTGACGGGTGGCTTGAAGAGTCAAAGGCAAAGGGAAAACAACAACAGAGTTCATCGGCTTGGTTTCTTCAACCCAAAGCTTGGGAAAGCTTGGGATGGACGTTTGAATCGTGTTCCCTGCCCTCTCACTCGTCGACAGACTCGCGCGGCTATGTCAAATACTTGAGCCTGCGACGCTCGCGGACCTTATTCAGGACTCGCACAAGAATGCGATACCTGAATAGCGTTAGGATTGGGCTGAAGGGGGTGGGCGTGTCAGCGGCGGATGGCATAGCCGCTCTAGCGCACAACTCAACCTTTGCTTGCTTACCTCTCCTCCCATCCAGGAGACTTCCGGACCCGCCCTATTGTTTAGGATGGCTGTTAGACAGGAATTTTGGGGGAGGGGAGGGGGCGTGGACGGGATCGAGAAAAGACAAGCAGGGGAGCGCCATCACGTCAGGGCTCCCCTGGCTGCTACTCTCCTGGCCTACCCCCCAGTCCCCCCTCCATGAAAACATCGTCTGTCCATCCATTCACCTTATCCGCAGGCACACTCGTCAGACACACCACCAACTTGACACCAGACATGCACACACGCGCACATTGGCATACGAGCTCGAACCGGAACTTCAACAACCAGTTGCAGAACCATACGCCCCACTGCAGCTTTGTGACACACCACCATTCGCTTTCGTGACGGGAGTTCCCTTTCCTGTCAAGATGTCTCCAAGTCATGACATGTTGGACGTATGCCTGACAGTGTTGAGAGTTGTCTCACTCCCTGACCATGTGCACAAAAAAGAAAGCTGCTGGTATTTGCAGAATTAACGGCGCCTCCCTGGGTCGAGGGCGCGAGCACGAGCGATGGATTTCGCCCATCAACAACAAGATGCTAAATCGAGAGATTCGAGAGCTCGAGAGTTACTAGTCCTCTTCTACGGCTATGTTGACCAGTCTTCAAGAGCCGATTGCTCACGGACGATGAAGGTTGGTCCAGCAAGAGGTTCAGGAAAATTCAGGACTCCCGCTGTCTTCTATTTTGGACTGCTGAGCTCAGACGGCAGTTGTTCGGCGGGTCAAGAACGCCATCTTGAATAACAGATAATTTCTTGGGGGTGATCGCTGTATTGCCGTTCACGACATCCGGGACCTTGATTCTCAAGGTTGGAGGGTGGTGGATAGAGCCGACAGGGCCTTCACTGCTCGCCCTTTATCGCTTTTGTTAGACTTCATCTTTCTTTCGGTAATGCTATGGGCACTCATTCATGTCAATATTGGACAGAATCTGTCGTATACTGAACCCATCTCCGGTTTACCATGTTCCCTCGCTGAACCTGCTCCGATCAGGAAATGACGGCCAGCCGGGTCAGAGACCGTTACGTACCAGAGTAGGAACCAGGCCACCAGTGCCAACCCCCGGTCTAGTTGATGGGGGCCTATTCTTCATTTATGTCAATTGTGCAAATCTCTATTTTATCCTCGATTCTTATACAAAGACTGCCTACGGAGACGGAAGTCTTGTTCACTTTAATCCATCATAGGACCTGAGCGCGGCCAGAGCGTTACAAGCGACAATGAAGGGGCTTGGCTGGGAAGGTGAGGTAACTGGTTGAAGCCAGCGCGCCAGTTGCATATGTGATGGCACGTTGAATAGTGTATCCGTAGCAGGTAGTCAAGTCGTTGGAGTAATGCAGCGCCATTGACTCTTGAGTACTCCGTACCAACTGAAGTGTCTCCATATCCATAATCCGCCGCCGCCGCGCGCGCCCCCCCTTCGGGCAATTTCATCTACACTACGTACATCACAACCGTCCTGGCCCCGGGTGGGAGCCCACGAGCAGCCGGGGAGCACAAGTAGACCCCTGCCCACAGACGCTACGGCTTCCCTAGTGGCTCTTTTTCGTGTCACTGTTCGAGCAGGCTAGTGCTTCTCCCATCTCTTCCACTCTTCTTCTTGTATCCTGGTCACTTTCTTTCTCGTTCAGACCCCTATCCATGCTGTCCTGCTGGCACATCCTCAAGTACCACCTCGAGCTAGCATAATCAGTCCGTTGCCCGCCAAAGGGAACGCCACCGAAGCAATCCTAGGACCAGGCCCTGACTGGGGTGTGGGTACGGACGGTGTGGTCCTGCGACCCTGGTCGAGATGGGCAATCCCATCCTCCTTCTTGTTCCTCATCGACGGCCTGCTTGTACCCTGATCGTCCTCTTGCCATGCCACCCTTGCCCATGCCTCGCAGCTCTGGGCTAGTTCAGGTTTAGTCTGTTCCGTCAAAACCATCCTCCCTCCCCCACATCAGCAAAGGCCTCGTTCCCAGATACATAGCAAGGCATTAAGCATCCGTGGGCTGTGCGCTTCTTCCTCTCCAGTCCAGTCCAGTTTACTTTGCTCTACTACGGATACCTCACAAGCACAAGTCTACCTACCAACCTACTCTCAGTCAAAGTCTCCACGGTCCGATTCACAAGAACCTACTAGTTTGGGGCTCTTTCGTCTGAGGCTGGTTCGTGTCAGTTTCAGTGTGCTCAAATCACCGTCTTAATTTGTCCAATTTGGCCCGTCGCCGGGTCCTCCTCTTCCTCCTCCTCGACACTTCTCTCCCATTTCCTATTTTGGCACCACATCTGTGCACCGCTGCCCGTTAATCTTCCTGCACAAGACCTCTTCCCAAGCTCCAAGATATACAAAAGGACTGCCATCCCACCTTGCGTCTACCTCCAGCATCACCGACCATCATCCCATTCGAGCTGCTTGTTGATTCACGGCTGGGACCACTTGACCATCACATCAGCATCCTTTTATCGCTTCTACTTCTTCACGCCTCTGTCTGTCGTTGACGAGCAATAACAATACTACTACTATTCGACCTCGCCGCCGAACAAGCTTCATCAAGCAAGATACAACAAGCAATCGTTCTCCGACGTGCTACTTTCACACAAGAAAAAAACGAACTTTCCTGGCTGGACCGTATTAGGTACAGCTTACTCGCATACCTTTCTCCACATAAGAACCTGGGCTGATCAGCAGCAGTCCTTAAAACCGCCGTGCGGCTTCATCATTCGAGTCCGCCAATCTTCTTTTTAACCCACAGGATCGAGCACCCAAAGTGTCTCGTCCGCAACGGTCGTGTCTAAAAGACTTTCATTCTCAAAGAGAACAGCACAAGATGTCTATGCTCGCCATGGCTGCTCCGTCCCCCCATTCAGCATTCAAGAACTACCCCTGGGATGGCGGCAGGTCTTCCTCAGACTACTCCTCGCGCCCTCGTACTGAGCCCGAGAGAATCGCCTTGCCATCAATTCGTCAGGTATGACGATTCTCGCCGCCCACAGAGGCGTTTGAACACACAACTGACTAGTATACAGGCCATCCCAGAACTCCACCTTCGCCTGCAACCCCAGGAGGCATCAACCACCAGAACTACCTCTTCCAACACCTCGCCAACAGTCGGATATGCCGGTGTCATGACGCCTCCCGAGTACGTTCACTCGCCAAACTCAAACAAGAGGAGGAGACTCTCAATCGACGAGGAGCAGGAGAGTGAGAGAGCCAGCCGTGTCCCCAGACTTTATGAGTCTCCTGCTCGCATTCCTCAGCGCCAGATTTCCCCGTCAGTTCCTTCCCGCGCTGCCACTGAGAGCTGGACTGGATCCGCAAGGACGAGCCCTTACATGTCTTCATCTGGCATGCCTTCCATGAGATCCCCCGCCATGGAAGTCAACGAGCGTCTCGAGTCTCGCCCAACACTTCCCAGCCTCCCGCCCATGAACTTCGAGAGGGAATCGATCCCCATGCAACGTGTTCGCGGCCACTCCCAAGACGAGTTCCAGCCCATCCGCCCTTCCATGGCCATGTCTTCAGGACCCATGATGGAGGCCACTCCTTCATACCGCCCCAGCGGATACGCCTATGGATACCACCACCCCAGCCGAGTCCAGTCTCTTTCCCTCGGCTCCATTCACCCCTTCGACCGCACACCATTCTCAGCCGCCGGCTACGGTCACTACCCTGAGTTCATGCGCATCGGAGAGCTTGGAGCCATGGGAATGCACGGTGACAGCAAGCAACGCAAGCGCCGTGGCAACCTGCCAAAGGAGACGACTGACAAGCTGCGTGCTTGGTTCGTCGCTCACCTGCACCATCCCTACCCCACGGAGGACGAGAAGCAGGAGCTCATGCGTCAGACCGGTCTGCAGATGAGTAAGTTTACACTTTTCAGAGCCCGTTAGGTGTGGGACCAAAAAACGCTAATCTTTTTGCCTCTAGACCAGATCTCCAACTGGTTCATCAACGCGCGGCGCCGTCAGCTTCCTACCATGATCAGCAACGCCCGTGCAGAGTCCGACGCCATGTCCAGCCGCAGCGGCGAGAGCAAGATCCTCCCGTCGACAGAGCGCAGCGAGTACGACGACGGCAAGCGCAACAGCGTCCCCCTCAGCGATGGCGAGGCCTTTGACGAGGACATGGACCTGAAGCAACGGCGCTCTGCACACATCAAGAGGGGAAGCATTTAGAAGAAAACGCCTCTTGAATCATCCGAGACAAAGAAACAAAAAACGTCAAACCAAAAAAATACTACCAACGCCCAAGACAAAGGGCAACCTCCTGCGACTCAAGAATTCTTTCATCACTATACCAGACGCGCGCTTCATTCTATCTTATCATCATTAACGACGGACCACGACCGCAAAAGACCCAACCACAACAAAATTCGGCAAAATCAGGGGCAAATTTCTAATATTCATGAGCTTTGTATAAAAAACAATACCGCCAGGAGTTGATGGGATCAAGTCCCTCCTCCTGGAAAGCACCCTTTTCTACGTCGACTGTATCTATGGGGATAATGTATTCTTACACAACACACAAGAAAAGGCGACTTGGGGTTTTACATCACAACACACACAAATGGGACAACTAGGGGCGGGATCTGGAAGGGGGGATAGGTGGGAAACCGGATTGGGCTGGTCGGACAGACAAATCTGCATAACAAGTTTTCTCGACAACTGTTTTATTTTTTTTCACAACTGGGGTGGGAGGTGTTTCATGGGTTGGGCAAAGGGGTCAAACATTTTTATTTCTCTTTCTCTTCAGCCCAAAGAGCCAAACCAGAGGCTTGAGCTTCTCTCTTCATCACAGGATACGTAGAACGATATCATTGTAACAAATTCTCTTTATTCAACTGTCTATGAGCCTACACACAAAAAGGATGTTATTCTCTTGTATATAGTACAAAAATATTCCAAGATTACATTTCTTAACTCATATCTCCAAATCCATTGCTGTGTCCAACACTCAGAAAGATTAACAAGTTTTTTCTCCTATGTATTTCTGCATAGTCCACCTGGTGAACCCAACAGTCCGGCACCATAGGAAAAGCAAGACAGCCCTGCCTCAGAGTAAAAGGGGGTGGGTGTGTCAGTGTCTGATGCGCTTGTTTCTTGACAGTGACAGACAAACATGTTCCCTATGTCACATCCCTCTTTGGTAGAACATTTCTTGTCCAAAACAAACAAACAAACCGTGGGAGACTTTCAAGTCCACGGGCCTCTTTTCTGGTTCTTCAGCTGAACAGAAGTCAAGAGACGGCGAACAATCCAAGCGCAATGTTTACATTTTGCACGCAGATCCAATCGGACACAACAAAACACAATCACCACTAACACTGTAACTTTCTACAACTAGGCAACTAAACAAGAAAGCAAGAGGCTGGGCTGAGAGGTACGTACGTATGTGTGTGCATGTATGTGCATATGTGCGAGTGTGTGTGTGTGTGTGTGTGTTCGAACATCAAGCAACAAGAAACATGAAAGGTCTGTGTGGTTTCCCAGTTCCTGGATGACAGTCAAACCAAAGGCACTCCCACCCCTCCCCTCCTTACCCTGCCTTACGAAAGGCCTGGCTGGCTATGTGCCGTGGTATTCCGACAACGTCACACGCATGGTGTTGGGTCTCGTTTTTGCTCTCCACATCCATCCAACCGGGGCGCTTTCACCGTGCTCATCACCTTGCCTTAGTCAAGGGCTGAAGGAGGAGGAGGGAGGGCTGGTAAGAGCCCCCTCCAGGGCTGCGTGTATGTGCATGTGCGGGTGTGCGTGATGCGTTTTGCGTATCGCTGTGCATTTGCGTTTACCTGTGCGGTTGTTGCTGAAGTGTGAACATGGAGAACTTGGAGGCGTGTGAGAAAAATGGCGGCGACCCGAGATCCTGGGCGGCGAGCTTCTTAGTCCCGCGGAAAAGGTCCGTCCGTTTACAGCTTTGCCCCTTCAAACTACCCCCGTTTCCCGCCTTTTTGCCGGTGCCGTTGTGACCGAGACGTCGATGATATCGTTGTTTTGTGCGCGGCGGATGGACGTTTCTCTTCAGAGACTTACGGTCAAGGTGAAAGGGCGGACTACTGCAGTCGCCTCTTCCCTCGATCTCAGTCTCTGTGTGATTTTCCCGCCGTCACCGCCGCTTGGCCTCTTTTTCTTCCCCCTCAGACTCCGGTTGCTCCGTCATTACACACGGATTCTGCAGCGGGCGGGCCCTTTTCCTCGAGGGGCTGATGGTTGAATGAATAGTCGTCACGCAAAAAGGCGGGATGGAGACAAGATCAGACACTGTAAACGCACGTTTGTGTTGACAAACCCCTACAACAATTCTCCGAGATTGGTAGAGAGCGGCCGCCCTCTTGGTGTTAAATAAATTGTTAAGCTGACCGAGTTTCTTCAATGAAGGCCACCATCTCTTTCTCTAGTGTCCCTCTTAGAGCTCTTTTTTGGTGCCGGGCTAATTAATGTCTGCTTGCTAAGTTGACTAGTCTGGTATTGTAGTTCGTCGTTGGCCCCCCCTCTTTGGAATTATCCCGCCATTTCGTTGTGACAACAAGTCCGCCTTTTTTTTCCAACGCGATTAGTTTGTGTGGAGAAGGTCCAAAACTTCTGCAAGCACATTGCATCACATTAGGTGGTTCATGTGGGCAGCAAAAAGCGAGTGACTGACGAGGATTGAGGAGGCACAGAGGCTGGAGGATGAGGTGAAGAACCAAGCTACTGTATGCTCTAATGTGAGGTGATGCGTGTGTTTGGTGATTTTTGTGTGTGAGTACATGTAAGTCTACCTTATGTTGTACATGGCCGACAGCGTTTAGTAATGTATGTGGCGTCGTGAAACGTGAAACCTCTCACACACAGCCATTTTCCTCGGGTTCTGCAGCTCTCTTCCTTTCTCTCTTTCTCCGACATACAAAGGTGAAAAGAAGACTAACGCTTCATGTCAGGGCGTTACAGCTGATTCGCTGGATTCCGAACATTGGATGGGTAACGAAACTGTAGGTATTTCCCTGCGTGCTTGTACGAGATGGGGCGGGTATCAAATCAGGCCAGGGCAATAAATATTTTCCTTTCTTTTTTCGGTGGTTTCACAAAGAGCGCTGCAGGCGCGGACGGATTCGGGAGGGGCCCTCCCCTTCCGCCGCCCCTTCTCTAGGGGAATCACGGGACTCGCGGAAAATGATAATACGAGAAAGGAGAAGTCAGGAGCGTAAAGGTGAAATCGGGTCAGGTCAGGTCAGGTCAGGTACCTGCAGTTCCTGAGCAACCCACACCAAAAGTTAAGTACGGATGCCGTGGCGTAATCGTTCATCAAGAAAAACGAGGCCAGCCGCAGTCTCCGGACCCCAACAACACACCAACACACAATGACATTGACATGATGGAGCAAACACCGAAAAGGCGGAGCGGGCTAAATGTTTAGAAACCTCCATCCTCGGCCGGCCTTGCGAAATACATGGACCACACTCACACTCACACTCGCATTCACACACATAATATCCGGAATGGATGCTTTACTCCACAGGAACTAGACACGTCCCCTACCTTAGTTTACCCATGGCCCGCCGCGCCGCCCGTCACAGAGGCACACCTTGGGCAGTTCGAGTTCTGAGTGCGACCCTTCTTTTCCCCTCGGTGGCAGGCCTCGCCGTCCTTTCGCGCTACCTTACCTTGCGGGCCTGGCTCATGGGAACGTCGCCGAAGCTGTGGTAGCCACGCAGACGCACGCCAACGGCGCAACCTCTTCGCACAGGTGGGATGGACACCCGCCACTACACTACTACCTCTCTTCTTCAGGTGCTCTGCGAAAGTGGGTTGCCTGGTTGCATATTCGGGCAGTGGACCAACGCCTCCCGATCTCGATAATGGGAGCTGCAGATCTCCTTGACCACCTTACCTACGTCCGTCCTACCCTCTGAGTCCCTGCGTACGTACAGGAGCACTGGTTCTATCCCGCCCTTTCTATTGTCTTTGAGGCTTTCTTCTTTTTTTCTTTTTTTTTCTCCTTTTCTGCCCACACTCGGAAGGGGGACCCTCAATGTCAGGTACTTCCACGAGAACCCCAGTGTACTTTGACAATGGGGCGAAACATTGGCATGCTACTACTAGTTACTGATGATGCCTTGCAGTTGCTTTCCCACCCTTCATGCCATGCGGGTGTCTAACCTTGCTGCTCTCCTGACTTGTCCTCAGACTAGGTTGCTGCTGCTACATGCAAGCTGCAAGTGCATGACCCGTGGATCATTGGGAGCTCTTTTGCCAATTACTCTTTCCGCAGGTGGTTGAGATAAACCTCCTTTTCCTGTCTCTGTCTCTCACATCTTGGCAGGACGCAAACCTTCATTAATTCCCGGGACAAAAAAAAAAAAGCAAGGAACCATAATGGCAGGTAGACACGGACATGGATCGCTGGTCCACGTTGCCCGTGTCAAGGCCGAAAGTGATCGACTGCCGGTGTCAGGATACCTCCTCGAAGGCCCCTTGACTGGTCGTGACAGAAGAACCCAAGACAGCTGGATAGGGGGGGTAATAGAACAGGTCGGAGCCATTAGCATGGTCATCCGATGAAGTAACCTTGGTCTTGCTGAGACGTTGACGTGAAGGGGGAAGCAAGTCAGTCCTTCCAAGGGGGTGTGAAGTTTGATAGGTACGAGGCAACAACCACCACTACACCATAAGCTCAATCTCGACAACCAACCCAGCCAAAGGGGGCCTTCGATACGTTTCCGCACCATTTCCCCCCTCTCATATCGTGCGTGTGCTCTTAGGGAGTTGGGCTTGCCGCCCGAAAGTCAGATTAACATCTGCCAGTGTGCTACGGCAAAATCCTGACAAGTGACTGGGCCCGATGCAAGGTGCGGCAGGTGTCTAGAGGTTGAATGAGGGCGAACCAGAGTGGGAAGCGAGACTCGTCGTGATTGCGATGTCACTGGGCCTCGCGTCCGATGCACAAGCGTCGTAGCTTTGTGTGAGATGACAGCCAGTCGCAACGGCCACTGGACGAAGAAGGGGGGGGAGGGTGTGCAGATTCACAACGTGTGGACTGCAGCACAACACAAGACGAGACCCAGGAAAGGCCGCCGTCGACAGGGAACAGGGCTCGCACGTCCGGTTGCTTCAAGCCGGGCCAAGAACGGCCGGCGCTCAGAAGGGATGTCAGTTGCCCACCCTCAGGCACGGGACATGAGACTTGGGGTGGAAGGTTGGCGAGTCAAACTCCGCCTTCTGGTACGGCTCTCGCTGTTACAATGTTAATAGAGCTTGAGGCGGCAGGAAGCTATCATGGATGTCAGCAACGAGGCCAAGCTCAGCCCATCAATGAGCGTGAGGGTGGGAGAGCGACCAAAGAAGGCATGGGCTTGCCATGTCAGCGTCGCTAGGTTCGTAGGGCCTGTTACTGCAGCATAGAATAGGAAGGCCGAAAGATATTGGGATGGGAAGGCGTAGATCCATCATCCAAGGGTGTGTGACTTTCTCATTTGTTCGGCACTTTCTGGCGGAGCTGGGAGGCGTTAGATGCAAACGACCTTGCGCGGCGCAATCGAAGCGTGATGCCTATGGAGATGTGCAAGAACCTGGAAGCCCTGGATGGATGGTGACATGCCGTATCGCCACTTGAGATGCAGCATTAGAGAGCATGGCCATGGTAGACCGGGGAGTATGGTGAGGAGAAGTTCAAACGACGTTGGCGCGATGGAGAAATGGCGGGCGGGTCTACAATCTGTAGCGGGTCCACGGAGATCAGCGGATCTACATTGGACAACGACAACCACGGTGCCACAGTATTATCATACAGGCACATAGAACGAACACAGGGATTTGCGCGCTGACGAGGAATTGGGATGAAGGCAAGCCATAGCGGCTGGATGTATCATGTATCCGTAAGGGGGATGCCAGTTCGTGATGCCTGGGCCCTGTCGACGAAAGCAATTCCGTTTCCAGGATAGCAGATTGGGGCTATGTGGATGGGCGTCGTGAGCATGCAATTTCATGGCGTGGTGAACAATTTGCAGGCCAATAATTAGATGGAACTTGGAGTCGATGCTTGTCTTGGTGGAGGGCCATGTTCGATACATGTCAAGGCGATTGGCTGTTTGGGATTGGCGGAAGGTATCGAGACTCATTCGAGAGGGTCCAAGGTGCGGATGTCGGGAGTGTTTCGAGGGCATTCAAGGGTCGATAGACTATGGCGCCAGGAGCGTTAGTTTCGTGCTCTGCTCGCTCTTTGGCGTTTGTGGCTTGTCTGTTGGTCGGCCAGACTCGCATGGCAAGGCCGATGAGGCGCATCTGGAAAGGGTAGAAGGAGAGCGTCTTTGTCTCAGGGCATTCCTTTGACGGATTCAAATTGTTCCATGAAGTTGGTTCGCCTCTTGAGGATGCTTAGCGGATAGCCGCGGCCGTGTTGGCGTTTTGAGAAGTTCTGCAGCAACAAGTAGTCGAGCACAGTCGCCGGGCCCCCATGTTTCGAATACTTCTGCTGGGGTTCTCCAGGAATGCTTCTCCTGTGTATGGGTAGGCCAAGACGTGTCAGGGTATCGAATCCCTTGAGCAGGTACCACTTGATGATTTGAATTTCTTCGGCCCCCTTTGTTTTCGGAAACGTAGCAAAGTACTGAGCCGGTTCGGGAACGAGGTGTCTCCTGTCAGAGCCGTCGTGCAGCGGGCAGAGAGAGGGCCGAGGGGCGGGTGCCGCACACATCATTGATGATTGACCAAAAGTGCCTTGACGTGCCGGGAAAGGCCTGGTACGAGAGGGATGCCAGCGATGACTCGCCGGTGGAGGAGAGCCGTTGGGGATGTAACTCTGTGATGTGTGTGAAGTATCTTTCTTCTCTTTCGCGGCAAGTCGATTTCCAAGAAGCGCATTCTCCGTACACTACCGATACAGAGTAGTAGGAAGCGTGATGAAGAATGGACGGGAACGCAAGATTGTGAGTGGAGGATTGACGTTCACGCTGGAGATTGAAGATGGCTTGTGCCCCACAACCTAACTCTAAGGTACGAAGTGCTTCGTACCTCACCATGCTCACTAAGCCCAGGGTACGTACACGGTAAACCCTGGTCAGGCGGTCCGGACCAGTAGCGACGATACGTACCTCTGCCTGACGTTGGTGAAGTCCCGTGGGATCCACTTGAGCTTCATGTTCCTTCCTTCCTTTCCAGGCCTTGCCGAAAAGGTACTCCCAATCTGGGCCTGAGCGGGTGGGTCTTTGATGTACCTTTCTCAAATAAGCTCCCAGGCAACCTAAGCTCTGATCCAGCTCCATTTCTGTTGGGCCGACCAATGAGAATGGGAGTATACGTATTCCAGGAACATATCGAGATACCGAGACCGTTAGGAAGTACCGGGGTTCTTCCTCCCTATTTCTACCAGGTAGATATCTAGTAGGTATCAATTGAACAAGGGTTTGTCGTCGTTTAAGCAAGGCGTGAACCGTTGAATCCCTACTCCAGTGATGTACGACGCTCAATCGCCATTGCCAACAGTGCCGTATCGCGATCATTATCCGCGATGTAGCACTGACTGGATGGCTGCCATCCTCCAGCCTCCAGGTCCGGGCTATAAGCGGAAGGGTAGGGGAGGGAGGGACGGGGGCCATGTGGGGAATGATCCGGTCATGGCTGCCATAATCCCGGCGCCCCGATTTCCGCCTATCATCCGCAGCAAATGATCGCCGGGCCCCGGTCGCCATCTTGCAGCCGCCCTGGTTTGGCCCTGGTTCAATCGAGCCTGAATGCCACTCGACTTGTCAACGGCTGCGTACTTACCGCGTAGTAGTTTGCGGATTTTCCGACCCATGCTCCAAGAGATTTTGTTCCTTGACAAGGCTTTTACGATTCAAGGTTTACCTGTCGCAGGTACGTAGTAGAGAATGGACACAATATTGTGCCTACTGCGCAAGATCAACCACGAATACCTAGTCGCGAGAGACGGATATCCCACCTACCATTCAAGCGATGCCCTCGTACCAATTCCGCCGTCACCTCCATCCCGACGACATCCGTGCTTCCTCGGACTATGCCCCAATGGTCCGTTCAGAGACACTTACCTACCTTAGTCACTCGAGGATTCAAGCCAAGCAAGGTAAATCTCTGCAAAAACGGAGCAGCGGTCAGGTATCCCACATAAACACTGTAGCATAGTACCAACCTATGTACAAGTGCGGGTACGTGAGCAGGATATCCTCCTCTTATGCCTTCTCTAGGTACATGCTGGACACTGCTACTTGCTTGCTGGGTCATGACCCAGAAGAACTAGTACATCCGTGGCGCCTTGCACCTGCTCTCACAGAACCAGCTCGTCACTGGATCACAGAGGGCCTCAGAAAGAGTGCTTCCTTCCTCAATCCGAGCATGTCACGCATGGCGACCCAAGGTATGTACAGATCTGGGGCTGCGGTTGCCGCCAACGTAGGGCAATGCGACCTGACTTGAGGTGCCAGTCAGCGAGACATTGGACGCCGCCCCATCTGCCAGCTTGCCAGTGCATCGTCCAGACTCCAGTGGACGCCTTGGGAGGCTTCTCGTTGCATAACTCGACACTAGAGCGTCGCCATACCATCTCCACCTTGCATTATGTTTCGTCACGATAATGGGCCACACTCGGACCTTGACTCAAGGCGTAAGCCTAGAGCGGCCTCTTCCCAACATCACGCTGCCTGGCTCACTCAATCAGAGTCTCCAACACATCGTTTCTGCGTGTGTGCCCCCCATCGCTTATCACACTTTGCCTCCTCAAGACCAGTGTGCCCTGCAGGCTGAGAAGGTCAGTCTAGCATGGCCTGGCCTGCCGAAAGCCAAGGAGTGTCACTGACTTCACAAGTTGTGAGTTGTCCCTGGCCCCATCCTCACTCCTCAAAACATAGTTTGCTCTGACGTCTATCCCGATTCACACCCGTCAGCCGCTTGGTTCCACTCGACTCGCAACGCACCGGGCGGTCATAGGTACTTCCCCAGCCTAACCCACGTCGGCTCGTCTCTCATCCTCAAAGTTAGTGTTTCTACGAGGGCTGCCCTGAATCGCAACGGCCGACGATCCCCGTTGCTTGTCTGCTCCCTTGTCAGGTGCGTTTGGCTCCTCGACTCTAACTGGCTGGGACCTTCCTCCGATGCGCGGCTGCTTTGAAGGATGCACAGAACACGAGGGCGCTCAGATGACAAGTCTGAAGGGCACCACCCACTGGCAGCAAGCCAAACAGCATATTTTTGGTGAAACCACCTAACAGAGGCCACTCCAGCCCCTTTCATTCTACCATCATGGCAATCCTCATACTTTGCTTTGATGGGGCTGGATTTACCTACGCACAGCCCTGATAACAGGGCATTACAAAGTTTCCAAATCCATGTCGCCAATCTTCGAGAATCACTAAGATCACGGCTTGTCTGCTGACCACGCGGCGGGAAGATCATGAAGCCTGGGCCACCGTCGATCCTGATCAGCAAGAGTCCTGCGCCAAACACCGAAATCCCCGGGTCCGTTCGGCTTGTCAATCTTAGTTGGCTTCATCTCCCGTCAAGTCTCTCGCCCACATATTCCTAAACTGGCCTCCCGAGAAGCCACTTGAGCAATCCTCTTAGTGCCACACAAAATACCTTCCGAAGAACTCGCGATCTGTGGTCGCTTCGGCCCCGCAGAGGAGTAAGCCAAGCATCCCAGTCAGCAAGCGGTGGCGGGCAAGCGCTGCCTGCGCAAGAGACATTCTTGGCAGTTCGTAGTCAACCTCAAAATCTCTTGGCCGCGTTCGTTGAATGATTATCCCCAAACGCCGTCGTGTGTCAATTTCTCACTCGGCGTTGTGCTGACATCCAGACCACGACGATCATCAGCCTTGGGGCCAAGCCTAACGATGTCTTTTGCCATGAGGCGCTAGACTGGGATACCGTGTGCAGCTGTCAAAAGGTTCAATGTCTCGCTCGCATATTCGGCTTCTCAAATCCAGTCAATGGTGCTACCTTTGGTGTCATACTCAACCGAGGGACAGTGTTGGAAGCGTGGTGGAATAGTGGACCGTGGCGTTCGGCGCGCGTCAATCCTCCACGCTCGCCCGTGTTTTAGTTCGGCAGCAATGTGAGACTAGTGGCAATTCTCTCGGCGCGGTTTCGACTGGTAATTTCCCGACTCCGTTGCAAATCACACTCGCGACTACGAGGAGGATGCCGTACAAGGCGTAGTTGGAAGGCCTGGCCGTCACCTTGATTCTGGCGGGCGCCATCGTCAGTGGCTGCCGTTCCTCGACACGCTTCACCGATGAAGTACATAGCCGGATCTCCCGTCATCCTTCGAAGAACAGAGTTTCAGACCGTCGACTGTGACGAATGAGAGTAGGTGTGATCACTCGTGATCGTCCCACCAAGGTGAGAACAGTCCATCTGACCGCGACTGACCACGAGAGACTGGCACTCAGGCACTGTAGGTAGGTATTCGCCCTATGGCCGAATGCTATGACAGCACAATTGGGATGGCAGTCGGTGAACACCTTGACCCAGGGCCCAGAGTGCAGCAACTCTGTCCATCACGTTGGGTATTCGTTCCTGAGGCGCCACGGAGAATTTTAGTCTTTTGACGACGCAAACTCAAAAACTCGTCATCACCAAGATTGCAGACGTTTCTTCGTCGGCTACTTTCACCTGATACCTTAGCTCTGGGGACACTGACAAGCTTGGCTGTCGGCTCGCCATTAACTTCGGCCTTTGGCGATGGATCCAGATCATCCAGGGGAGGCGGCGATGAGCCTCCGCCGATCGTTGAACATCCCCCGAGCTGTCCGTGAGCCTGCGCAACTGCGGTGCTGCGATCGGCCTCAGCGTTCCTGGCGAAGATCACCGGGCCAAGAGCCACCAAAAAGGGCACTTAGCAGCGGCTAGGCGGAAGGCTCGGCCGAGCCGGAGCCGGATGGGATGAGATCACCGGAAGAGGTCGCCGAGTGTCGGCCAATCCATCCGCGCGTGGAGTTTGCGGAGTTCCACAAATTATCGGCTGAAGAGCGGGAGAATATCGGACAGTGTCCGGCAACGGCGCCGAAGATCTCGACGTCGTTAGTATCCATTTTGCGCCGTTTAACAGACTTGGCATACCTACATGAATTGCAACCCACGTGGAGAGCAGCGTGCACAATTGGTCGCTCAGTCTCTGGGCAGTAAGAAGATCGAATTGTTCAACTCCTGGGGCTCATGATGAGTCATCACAGAAGGCTCGTCATAGAACTCTCCAGAGCCAATCAGAACGAGGCACTAGATCCATCTCGGACATCGGACATCGGTGCAGAAACTGTCCGACTGAGTAAAGAATGGGGCCGGCACACGCTCGAGCGCGTATCTGCCTGGTGTAGACCTGTTCCTAATAGTGTAGCAAAGGGCCACAGAGAAACTGTGAGTTACTCTTTGGCCTTTTTCGCCGCAATAGTGCTTCTCCAAAGCCCGCATTACGTACCCATTGTCTCTTGCGTCACGCTGCAGCCCACCCGAGTCCGACTCTCTCCCGTATCTTCCGAGTTGTCCTGAGTCTTGGAGCCCCCCCGGCGCCGCCGAGGCCCACTCCCGGCACTTTCTCCCTATCTCCCGCTTGCCGAGGTCTCGGAAGGAAGTTTTTGCGGCTCATCATGGAGACTGACGACGGCGTACAAGCGGACCTTCCGGGCTCCGCCGCCAACGGTTCGGAGCCGTTGGCGTGTGTGACATGCCGGTCCCGGAAGCTTAAGTGTGATCGAGTGAAGCCGGCATGTAGCCGTTGCTTGAAAGTCAAGGGAGAATGTGTGTATCCGGAATCCAGGAGGAAGCCCGCGTTCAAGCGGAAGAATGTGAAGGAGCTCGAAGAGAGGCTAGGTAATGCGCTCTCATATACTTTTCCGCCAAAAGGAGCGTGTTACTGACCAATATGTATAGCCCAAGTGGAGGATCTTCTCAAAGAAGCTGCCAACAAGGGCAATGGGGCACTACCTTCTGAGGGTGACCTGGATAGCCGGATCAACATTGGCATGGACGACTTCCATGTCGACATTGAGACGATCATGGCCATGCAGAATGGTACCTTTGACGACGGATCGTCTGGTTTTCACACGGGAGTGAACATGAACAAGACGGCACCGCCCTCTCAACCTGAAGCACCAAGCTTTGCCAATGCCTCGGGGGAACTCATGGGGCTGGGGCTCTCAGAAGCTCTACCCCCTTTTGAGATGATGGAGGAGCTGTATGTTGGCATCTGACGCTGTCTTCCTTTTCTGCTCTCGCAATGGCACGAGCATATCTGACTGGAGAACCAGAAACAAGAGCTTCTTTGAGAGGCAACAGCACTTCATCCCTATCATTCACCCTGGGCGATATCTCCAGGCGTTCTACTCGGCGCCTCATAAACGTCCGCCCATGTGTCTGCAGTACGCGGTCTGGTCTATGGCCTCCAACGGGCATGAGAAGTATAGCCAGTATCACGACATTTTCTACAAACGGGCTCGACAATACGCAGATGCGGATGAGATGAAGGTGAGTTCTCCCTCTCCCTCACCCTATGCTCTGGATAGAATTCGCTGACGCTCACACTACTACGTTAGGGATTCGGCGAGCACTTCCTCACTATCCAACATGCGCAAGCGTGGGCTCTCATCGCGACGGACGAGGCGAGGTCTCTCTTCTTCACGAGAGCGGCCATGAGTTCCGCAAAGTGCGTACGGCTCGTGGAGATGATGGGCCTTCACCGCAT